CACACTTTAATCTCTTTCTCTTCATTAGTCTCGTCGCTTTTGTTATCGTTGGATGGAGATGATGAATGTGGCTGACCGAGATTCGGTTCCCTGTTCTCTTGATCGTTCTGAAAAGAAACAAAAACTCGAATTCACGAATGCTCTGCAATATGCACAATTACGCGGGGACCATTTACAGGAAACGAGTCAATGTTCGCGAATCCAACACCTTCTACAAGACGAAGTTTCTTTTCCGAAAAAAAAAAAACATGCCGCTGAGAATTTTTGTTTCGACATGCCGGGAATTTCTTGAACGGAAATAAAAATCCTAGTAATAACGATGTTAATGTCCAATTAGCTGCAATTTGTAAACTTTGGTTCTGTCGACAGAAAATGGCAAAATTGAAATCATAATTTCGCCCACAAAATTTTGAAAAATATTTCAAGGACTCTTCATCCAAACACTGAGACATTTCACAAGAGCTGATTTCGGTAGAGTTTCAGTACTTTATTTTCAAAAGTCTGAATTTCCACCTCTGAAAGTTGCATAATATGTAATTGCAAACCATTCATGACTTAACATGCACTGCGTGACGCATTTCAAGAACAGCGCAAAACAAATTATTGATAAAACTTGGGTGAAATTTGTGCAGATGGGAACAAATTTTAAGTAGCAGAATAATCATGAGACTGCAGTGCTCCAATTTACGCACGAATTGCCGCAATTCAAGTTCGAGCTGAAACTGTTTTTTTTTGTGTGTGTCCTTTTTGATGAAAAACTTCGGGCCACGCCTTTATCAGCAGAAGATTTAAAATGTACTGCTCTTAAACACGGAATTTCAGGATTTTTTCGCGGTTTCACGTTTTACCCAACCTTTAATTTTAATTTATGTTTATCTTGAGCATTTGAATTTTTCTCGAAATTAAGTTTTCAATAGTGAAAAATTCAATATTTCTTCCTTAGTAAAAAATAAGAGATTTTGACAAGGTATTTTCGATAATTCGGGTTGACAAGGAGCTCATTTTTATGCGCAAAATCGTCAACACGACGAATTTTTCAGGGGATCTCATTCTTGGACTTGAAATGAAAACTTCAGGTGCTTCCGAAAGCGCACAACATATTAATAATGATAATAATACCGGTAATAACAATATTTTTTAAATTGGCAATAATCCCGGACCTGGTCAAAGCTGGAACACGAAGAATCGCTGGAAGGCCCAGAACCCGAGCCCGAAATTTTCTTGGGTCTTTTCGACGGGCTCGAATGATGATGATGACTGTGATGATGTCTTCCGCTTTTCTTCGACTTGATTTGCGTCAATGGTCTGGACGAACGAAACGCGGGGATTTCTTCCATTCTTTCCATGGCTCGTTTGGAATCAATGTCCACATCGTTGTTGTCATCGTCCACGACCACGACAACCACTTCGTCGTCCACGTCGTCCACTTCCGGGTCAGCCTGGAAATAAAATATACATTTTTTAGTTATTTAATCAATTTCAGAGAAATTCTCAATTTGTGCTCCGTGGAGCCCCAAGGGTTCCTTCAACTTTCCGCACGGGCTCCACAAATGTTCGGGGGAAATTTGATTTCAGCTTGAAATAAATATTTTACGATATCTCATACGAAATCGGAAGCACTTTTTTTTTCTTTCATTCTCGCCCAAACAATATTTTCGAGAATTTAGAATAGGTTCGAAGAACTTGATTGCAGAATTCAGAACTCAATTTCAACACGGTCTCTTGGAAATGAATCCGTTACAGAAAAAAGCGAGATACTCACGTGATTTATTCTTCCTTTTATTATTTTCAACCCCAGAAGAAAATTTGCGCAATTTGACATTTCAGAAGACGGTAGGAAAAATTCGCGACCTGATTACAAGCTTACAAAGGGTTGGGCGAGAACTTTATTAAGGGGTTTTACTTTATTTTATTTTTTCAAATTTATAAAACTCCAACCTTGACGCACACACTTCGCAAATTTAGGCCAAGGAACGGCATCTTCAAAGAGATCGATGAATTTTGGCACCGGGCTTCGTT